AGATATGCAAATCTGCGTTATAAATACGCTCAAAAAAGAGTGCATATCATAAGCAGCTTGTTTACAAGAAATAAGGGAATGAGTTTTCCCATTCTTTCACCTCGAAGGCTTCCTTTTCATGACAACTCTTTCTTATGCAAATCTCCTTTAATTTTTACTTGTTTTGGCAATCTTTGATAGCAGTGTTTGTGACTTGAAACCCTAAAAGCCGCACGAATTCATTGCCTGCTCTTTGATCAATGAAGAAGGCCGTTCCTTTTGTGGTCAGTAGGAGCCAGACGTCTCTTCTTTTAGTGAAGTACGGATGATGTTATGGAGTGTAAAACACTTCACTGATTGACCAATGAGTTGCTAAAGCTCAGCAAATGCAAAATTACTTCACCTGCAGTTCCATGAACCTAAAAGTTCTTGCTAAATGTTCACAAAATGCATTACGTTATAACCAGGGTTGAGCGTGAGGTCAGGCGCGCCCGTTCTGGGGGGTCGTATTGGTAGTAAGATCTGAGGGGGGGGGGAGGTCGTAATCAAAATCGAATTCGCTCAAAGCTAAGGAAGTACTACGTTCGAGTAAGGTGAAGAAGAAAAGCTTTAGACAGATGCATATCACAACTCCGATAGAATTGAAGGAATGACTGTCGTGGCCAGCGTATTGATTGACTCCATCGAAGTCTCAGCCAAATTTCAATTCTCCATCCCTTACCTGACACTACTATGACCACCAAATAAGCTTGCTGTGTAAAATGAATATAGTTTTCGTCATTAGCATTTCAAATCACTCTACTAGCACTACAGATCATTACCTATTATAGTCGTCCTCCCCCCACTAGACACCTAGTGGATGGATTCGAATTTGAACTAGAGCACGCCGATTGCGGCAGAGCGCGGCATTGTCAACCCCAGTTCAACCTCATCCAATATTCTTTGGTGTTTCTTCGTCGTTGCATGGTGAGTTTTTGTTTCAGTGATGTTTGTAATCAAAATCGACGAAATTGTTACTGTTCAGCGATGTTTCGTGCTACTATGCTCGCTTCTTCGGTTTTTATTTCAACTAAATTTGAAATCAGAATTCAAATGACGAGCTTAGTAGCAGGAAACATCACTCAGGATGAACAAAGTCTACAATCCAGTTAAGAAGACTGCTAACATTCAAAAAATAGGATGAAACGTTCCGAAAACACAAAAACGTCTGTTTGAGATCAAAGTGAGGGCTGCAGGTACCGCGCTCTGCCGCATACGGCGTGCTCTACTTCAAATTCGAATTCGTCCACTAGGTGTCTAGTGGGGGGAGGACGACTATACATTTTCTAGCGTTATCGTCTAAAAAACCTGAAATCCAAATGATCAACTTGGTTTTAAAAGTGAAATAAGTCAGCTTTTTTATATTCATAACAAAGTAATGTTCTCTATCAGTCTATACTAGAATTTAGAATTTATATCGCTTTCAAATAGTGGATTAGGAAGTACTGCCAGTATTCCAAACATCCGTTTTTCACCTTGAGCGCGTCAACTCCGCGGATTACCACAAAGCCGAAACAAGTCGAGCTAAGCTCAAACACCTATGTAGAATGTTCGAGGTTTGTGCTAGCGAATTACAAAACTTGGGTGAAAAAGCGTCTTCGAAGGTAAAGTTAATGGGGTCGGGCGCAACCCTTCAAAAGGTCAGGCCGCCTGAGCTTTGCCTGACCCACTTAACTTGTCTACAAAATTCAGAAATCAGTCCATAGCATGAGGATTGAGCTCATAGCCTCCTCTTGCGTCATTGAAAATTTGGAGCGAAACACTCCACCCCTGAGGAAATTCTGGCTCGTTAGGGCAATTCACAATTCACATCAAAATCGCTGTCAAATTGCGTGTACTTGTAATGTGTAATCACAGAAAACCGATCATAGTCTCCTAAAATTCAAAAACTCTGCAGGAAAGACTTACCTTCTCCAGAGTGTCACACTCTGAGGTGCGAAGGTGGTGAGGACTAAGAGGGGGTCGTTTGGGAGCTTTTCTGGAAGGAGGGGGTCGTTTACGAAAGACTTGTGCCTGACCTTTTGCTCAGATCTGGTCCTAACTTCAAAATACAGTACAAGATTACTTCGATGAGTGATTTTGTTATATTTGATAAGCCGGATTCGATACAGTTGTGATACTGAGCCATCAATGTATGCCTAAAGCAACCCCGCAAAAAAGCCTAAATTGTGAAATAGTTATTCCAAAGGATAAATACATCCATGTTAGAAAATATAAAAAATTTTGTAAGCGAAAATGTACTATGAACTGTAGAATTTTTACATATCAGCAAATGGAAAAAAGTTCTCCCCTTCTTGAATAAAAGTGGCACTGCAGCTACACACTTACAGCGTAGATCAAAAACATATTGCTTTACTTTTCCATTGTATTCTATTATTTCTTTAATATAGGGTTTTTCCTGAATTCCTTGCCGCTTTGTGTCCATATTATTAGAAAATGTGTTATTACTTCAAGCTCTACAACGAGAACTCAGAGTTCATTCTTCAATGTATTCGAAAACTACAGGTTGACAACTAGGGCTACATAAGAACTATGGATTTACTCGACAACTAGTCTAAACAAGTGACTTCAAGCGTTCAAGAGGTCCTTTCGTACAGCAGGTAGGTCAACGTTGATGTTTATTTACGATACCCTGGCTCCACATATCCGTATCCTTTTGGTTCTGAAAAAAAAACTGAATCGAAAGCTTTCCTATCCATACTTTATTTTCAATCCCTACTCTTCTTTGCACTGCATCTGATTGTGAGGTAGTTTTGTCTTTCACCGAGCATGTTCGCAGACTTAGTGGAAAAATAGCCATAGTCAAAATTTTCTTCCAAGTTATCGCCTTTACTCTATTTACCCTAATATCACACGTATAAGGCGCAGGGGATTTTTTCTTCCAAAATCGACCAGCCCAGACAAGCCAAAGGACTTTACAACCAATGGACCGTATAACGTGTTGTATATTGCTTGAGAGAATCGTGCGATGTAAGGATTTCTTACCGGAATGCAGTGAAGCGGCTGAGCGGTCGCCTGAAAATTCGAAGTGCGCCTTATACGCGTGAAATTAAGGTAATTATTAACTTTCGCAGCTTTCTTAGAAGTTCTTAGAAGTAAATGTTCATACTCTAAGGATAGGCCCGTTTGCGCCCCTAGTTCTTGCGTCTTCGCCCGGTAGCAGCCTATACTATGCTGCCTAAATCTCACCCACAGGGGAGTAGATCTGGACATGGATTGAATCTGAAAGGATCGATGAGATGCAGCACATTAATCTGCGGACGGAAGAGCGAAATAATTGGTACTTAATACCGGCTCAATGGAGATTTTAGATCACCAAAATCATGGGTGTATTTACGGAACTGCTATGACCATGCACAACCCACAGAATCACAAGCCCCCAGATTTTTTCGGTGCACAGTGTAGCGATACGGAGTGCATCCAGTCTCTCTTGGATTCATTGAAAAAACAACTATAATTCCTTAAAGGTGGACATTCGGGTCAGAGTCATTCGCAACCTATCCTGCCTTCCTTGTTCCTTAGACCCTGGCCATACCTCAAGCGATTTTAGTCGCAACGCGATTTGGCAGTACTGTTAATGATTCATAACTCATTGCAAAGGGTTTCCGAATGAACGGAAGACAGGGCTACGTTAAACTACGAAGTTATACACGCTCCGCATTTAGGGTCTGCCGGCACTGAACTTGAAGACATCTGGCAGATTGCCAGATCGCGTGGCGAGTGAAATCGCGTGAGGTATGCTCAAGGCCTTATGCAAATGTCACAATAACTCATATGCTTACCACTAAAAAGTTAAAGATCCAGGAATCATCTGCGACGATCCCGTATCCACCCTCCAATCTGCATTCATGACTGTTCCCAACAATGGATATCGGCTGCAAGCAAAGAACCAGCAGACAGAAAGTATTATGTACAAAAGTGCTAAAAAATTTTCTGCTCAACAGTGCCAACCTACACGATTCATTTCACCGGCATCTCTAACACACTCACGACAAGGCCAATTCTTCGACTACTGCCGTTTCGGACCAAAGCCTTTTTCGCTTTGTCAAACTAACGACTCACCCACTGTCGTATTGTCCAAAATTTTAGACTTTTTGGAAAAAGTACAAAACATGTCTCCGAGAATTTCTCCAGAGGGGTAATCGAAGGCCTAATAATCAAAAAATGATTTAATTTATTTTGGCATTATACGGTAAGTAGTCATTCTGTACAAAACAAGCATCGTAGATTTTCATGAAAAATTATGTTTGGGAGTTATTACACGACCATGCTGATCATCAATTATAGTGTTCACTTTGTTCACTATTGTCCCAATGGTTCTACGGCAGCAGCACGGTAGAATTTTCATGAAAATTGAGAAACTGATGTAAGAAGGTGTGGTCAGAACATGACACTATCATTTTCGTAATCAGCATGCTACAAAACCTATATGTATGTAAGATACGAGCCTTCTGGGATAAGCAATGCAAAAAAATCAATAAAATCGACATTTTTTGATGGGCTAACGTCAGTCTCTGCGCATATCGTATTACTCGTGCATGTACACTTGATCTTCCCGAAACATCATCATTCTGCGAAGATGGAGCTGAAGTATGTGCCGTATATCTATCTGCGGTATACCTACCGTAACATTACATTGCAGTATCCCGAGCCCGGACCACTCTGGCTGGAGTTTCGCCTAGGTGTCCCCAAATCATGTGCCAGAACCGCATAGCATTACATCGTAAATTGGCAGAGCTAGACAGGAACCTTACGACCCATCGGTGGGTCGTATTGTCCGAAATGGCAGTACAAGTACGACGCACCGGTGAGTCGTATTGTCGTGAATTTGCTAATTGATTTAACGAATTGTGGCTGAAGGCACTGTCCACCAAAAATGAGGGTGATGAGTAGTCGATGTTAATTTGAGCAGTCGAATCTTTTTTGGGATTCCCGCTATCTATAAATTAAAATCTCATCACCCTCATTTCGAGCGAGTGCCTTTAGAGAAACCCTACCCTGGAATGTCCGTGTTGCTGGAAAATCTCTTCCAGATTGCGAGTGAGTTTACATTCAGCCATGAGCAAGCAGGCCACCCCAGAGGTTTTGAGTAATTGGATCACCAAATGTGCCTCACAAGCGGCAAGATACACGCCATAGAACACCATTTTGTGTATCTTTATATGATTCTTGCGCACACTTTGAGTGATCTCCTCAACCTTATAGGATTCGAGTGACACCTGGAAAACGTATTGTCTATTTCTGCAATTTTAGGCATTGTTTGCTCCCACTTCCAACTACTCACTTTGAAAAATAACAGCAGCCAAATTTCAGCATGGTGGCATGAGTCCAAAGCAAGTGGAAGTTTGCTTGGGTCTGCTACGACGAAACGCTTAGGACTCTCAGCAAAATAGTCGTGCTGAAAAAAAAACTTTCTTTCAGCTGCAAATGCTGCAGTTATCCTTTTTTAAAGGAGCTGCTGGAGGTTTTTGCGTAGAATAAAAAACATGCTTACTTGTGCGACAACTATTTTCCTGAACATTGGTTCAAGAATAGCTCTGTTCTCATCAATCAAGCTACTCATTCTTCGACAAACGAGACGAGTCTCCAAGAAGCTTTTTCTTGATATCATCTGAAAATGATGTGAGCACTTTCTCGGACAGAGTATGGAAAGTATAGGTCAAAACGAATGTTCTGCGTAAACAATTTTGGCAACTTCTCGAACCTTCAACTTAATCGCCATTTTTCTTTTCAAGGAATAGTGGACGGTTCGCGCTCCATGATAAATGTTTGTGCGTGTATTTCCGTGGGCTATATAGTTACCAAAAAGTTTTCAAAAAAGGATTCTGCGATTTTGCGTTTGTTGCCAGAAAATTGCGGAGGGCAGATACAGTCGAATCATTTCACATGATCATGTGTGTTATTACACACGCTGTCCACCTTGTGGCGTTCCCATCCCGGCTTGGAGGAAACAACCCTTTGAGTGTTTTCGATGTTTTTCTTAATGTTTTCTTTCCTTTTTAGGTACTAATCACCTGAAAGTGATGCAGGCCACAACAATCGGTGAGCCTCTTGCGTTTCTGCGGTTGCAAATCCCGGATGATGAGGACGCCAAAGATGGACGATGTGTGCAATGCACACATGATCACATGAATGATTCAACTGTACCTAGTTCACACTTTCTAGTCAGGCTTTGATTGCGCATGGAAATGTAAAAAAATCGATAAAAAATTACCATTCCATAGGAGAAACCGCTCAATATGACTTTTTCAACATGCGCTGTTTGAGCTCAAAAGACGTTACAGTATTTTAGCACTACAATTCTTGGAACTGTTTTTTTTTTTTGAAGAAACTGCTGCAATGGATACTTTCTCCTGGGAATGACTTCACTCACGAATTTTTGTTTTTGCTTCTCTTTGCGAGCACAAATCCTGTCATAGTGTACGAACTACACCTAGGTAACAATTTTTTCCAGATTTTTGATGATTAGCTGACAGCCCTAAGCAATTCTGGCATCGAATTGAAATTCCAAACTTTTGCATTTTCGGAAGCTTTGTTCTTATGGTCAACTCTTGAAAATTCATGCCTAAACATCTATCATTTGCCAGCGCAACACGAACGAAAAATTCAACATGATCACAAACCTGCCTCAAATGTCCCAAAATTTGAATGCACAACTCGGGTGGAAGCTTCAAGAAAGGAGATCGCTGAAGCGATCTCTTGCGTTTCTTGGGAGGATTTCCAGCCGCTGTTGTATCTTCTTTTTTATTTAAACCGCACATGGGGATCTACAACGAGTACTCTACAATGCTGCGGCATACTCACAGAAAACTCTTTACTTATACATGTTTACGATAATCAGAATGAGTCCTTACCTTTGAAACTTCACGGCTTGCCTAAGAAAAGTCGCCCTACAAGGAGTAATACTACGTAGCGTTTGCGAATTGCGAAAGCCTCTTTCGTGCGCTTTCGTCTCAAGACCAATGCCTGTCTGTCCATCTGTGCCACGGTAAAATAGAAAAAGCTTGCGGTTTCCTAGATTGAAGATGTATGGAGAAAAAGCGAACCTAGAGGTCTGCTTTTTCCCTTCTCTGTATTGTTTTTATTTCCGGCACTTCTCGCGACTTCTCAAGGAGAGAGGAAGGCATGAAAATTTGGAAATGTCGCACAAATGAAATTATATTTGAAGTTCCTGATTATTCGAGCAATGAGTATCGGATAATTCTCATTGGCTGACTTATGCGTTCTATACAAAGCGTGGAACAGAGTAATGAGAGCTTTGCTTATCTTTGAGCATTGTCTGCTCATTTTCGCCATTTTCATGCGCTGAAAAGTCCAGATATGGGCTTCTCATGACGAGGAGGCCCCGAAAAGGTGAAAATCTGGATGCCGAGCAGCTGCGTTTAAGCGGAAAATCTGCTCAACTGTACATGACAATTAATTTCTTCCAAGTCTGGAATTTCCCTTCCTCGTAAAGCTCAACCTCACACCCTTTATTCTCTGATGGATACACATAGCCGTTTCCCTTGAACCGCTAGCTTCGTTCTGGACATATTTATACACTTTCAAAACTCTCAGCAAAGTTACAGGCCAGGAACACAAGTTTTTTTTTTCAATGTAGAGTGGGAGCTGCATTGGTCGGCAGCAGTGAACAAAGAACCTGACAAGCAAAAATGCGGAACATTCAAACTCATATCGACCTATTCGGTTTTCGGTTACCTCACGGCATTTGAGTTTCTTAGACGACAGACCATGTTCTTTATAGAGAAGATCATGGAAGACAACATTTCTACAGGATTCCACTCTAAATTACAAGAACGGCTAAAGGGTGCAAACAGCAAGTATGCTTTTTTTTTATGTGTACCTGTATGATTCTGCTGCAGATATAATTGAACGTGTTATGACCAAAAGTGTCCTGCAAAATGCATTGTCATGCAAGTCTGCTATATATCAACTGCCTCTGGACCACCGTATCTTCAATATTCATCGTCTTCATCAATAACACATGGCAGAATAACATGAAATTAAACACGCAACAAGACACAAAGTAAAATGATGTGTCTCTTCCCTGCTAAGCTACACGTTGAGAGTAGACCGGTTCATTGATCTAACGACAGAAAGCAGTATAGGAATATGGACAACATTGATCTACCGGATCCTGGTAGGTTGCAAAGTGACGATGATGACGGGGCAAACAGCAGCCCAGGGATATCAGAGGCGCCGCCGGTCGGTTACCGGACGTTGGAGTTTCTCCCCGCACCCCGCGCGTATCGGCCACGCCCTAAAAAGCATGACTCAGTACCGAACTCAATAGGGGTGCTTGTGCTCACACCTCCCCACTTTATTTTAAGTCCGTCCCGGACTTGAAACAAATGCTACAATGAATAAAAATAAGGGAGCTACAAAAACAAAGGAACACAAAGAACTATATACAAGTAATGAAAATGAATTTGAAAGCGCACTCACCGTGGATTTTCAAAATAGTCTTTAGAAATACCGTCCTAGGTCAGACCGGCTGACGATGGCTCCTATCGAGGTTGCCCAACTGATGACCCTGTTCCAGTAAGGGATCTTTTGTAGCATTCGGACATGTCCCAGGATGAATTGCCCATGACGGCATCGCGAAATCGCCACATTCATTCTTCGGTAGTCGTCCAGAAACTCCGCTGAATTAGGATCAACATTAGTACGTGTCGTAAGAATGATAACTACCTCTCTTCCACGTCCTTCCATGGATCTGTGATCGCTGATGCCGTTGCGTCCCGTAACACCTTTACTTCGGGTCCAATGACCAGCGCATCGTCAGCAACGTAACTAAAAGTCTGCTTGGCTCGGCGAGCGAACTCGCAATCTTCTGCGGATAACGGGGCTCCAGCCCTAGACACTGACTGTGCACGCGATCGAGACTTGGGAGGTCCCATGGAATCTGAAACAACGAAATTCATACTGAGAAAATTTTGGTTATTCAGCATGTATCGATTGTAGCATTCTAAAACACATCAATTATTCATGGCAGCACATGAGGGTAAATTTGAGATTAACTCTACGCCAAAAGCCGAGGAACAAATCATAGCGAGAACGAAAATGCGTTGACAAGTGGGAGGATCCTTGCAAAACGAAGGAGCAAAAACCGGCTGAATCAGAATTTCACAAAAACAAAAGGGCAAATACTGTAGCTTCCGAACAAAGAGAACGAATGGGAAACACATGAAGCTGTATTCAGATGAAAAGTTGTTTACTACAGAAATACGGTAGTTTCAATTTGAAAACTTTAGTGCAAACGTCTGCATGGGAAAGAAAAGCTTACATCCAAAACACTACCGTAATCTGTTTTGCTCGTAACTGCAGAACATGCTAAAACAAGAAGATGCTGCAAATCAAAAAGGTTTGAGGAACAAGCTAGCTTGCAACACAAGCTGCCAAGAGTAAACGCATATTCCAATGTGCGACGAGGATAGAATGGCGATGAGTAAGTAACCTTACAACATATGGCAAAAATCGGGGCGTTCCGCCACCTTTCCCTGAAAGTTGGAAAGTAATAAACTGCCGCCTTATGTCCTCTATCAACAGGGGCCCTAGCTAACTATCAAACACAGATATCTGTCTCAAAATCAAAAGTCTTAGCGGCATGCCGAATATTGCAACTGCATAATTCCACACAACTGTATTTAGCGGCAACGACGGATAAGCGAATATGATCCTCAGCACAAACAGATTTGCACGCGCGTGGAAAACTCAACCAAAAATGGCCCCTTCAAATAACCAGAATCGAAGCTTCGGAACCACAATAGGCGTTGAAACTCGTTCAAATATGTTGCAGACGTCTGCGTGTACCACGCCAGTAAACAAAGGCATGCCAAACAAAAGGAGAGCTCGGAGAAACTCCAAAACTTGAAGATGCCTCTGTCTACCATTCAAAATGTCTGCTTCGAAAATGGCCAGTTTTCGAAGTCGACGAATAACGGACTCAGTGAACAAAATTCAACTCACCCAAGCTGACCGTCCTTCCCGTCCGACTATCCACACTCGCTGCTACCAGTAAAATGATGTGTCTCTTCCCTGCTAAGCTACACGTTGAGAGTAGACCGGTTCATTGATCTAACGACAGAAAGCAGTATAGGAATATGGACAACATTGATCTACCGGATCCTGGTAGGTTGCAAAGTGACGATGATGACGGGGCAAACAGCAGCCCAGGGATATCAGAGGCGCCGCCGGTCGGTTACCGGACGTTGGAGTTTCTCCCCGCACCCCGCGCGTATCGGCCACGCCCTAAAAAGCATGACTCAGTACCGAACTCAATAGGGGTGCTTGTGCTCACAACAAATGTTGGGAATTTAAGGTGCTGCGATGAGGCATCTTCGAATTGTAACTCTTCACCTTCATGTAGAGGCTTTGCCCAAGCAAATAGACGCAAGAATTTTGCACCAAAAGCTTTACAAGCCGGTTTGGAAATATTTGGAAACAATTTAATGATTGTACAAACATGTGTCAAATTTACCAGACGTAGCGGATTCCATAATAAGCAGAAAGAAAAAACTTTCCATGGGGAACATGGCTATTGTACATAGCGTCCCTCGATCGATAGCTATCTTTAAGCCAGAAATGTAGGACACATGATGAAAAGAAAAA